CAATATAGAAATCAGTACAGTAACATTCTATATAGATAGTGTATCTCAATATAGAGATCATTACAGTAACTTTCTATATAGATACTGTATACCCCAATATAAATACCATTACAGTAACTTTCTATATAGATAGTGTACGCCAATATAGAGATCATTACAGTAACATTCTATATAGATAGTATATCCCAATATAGAGACCACTACAGAACTTTCTATATAGATAGTGTATCTCAATATAGAGACCATTACAGTAACATTCAATATAGATAGTGTATCTCAATATAGAAATCATTACAGTAACTTTCTATATAGATAGTGTATCCCAATATAGAGATCATTACAGTAACATTCTATATAGATAGTATATCCCAATATAGAGACCATTACAGTAACATTCTATATAGATAGTGTATTTCAATATAGAGATCATTACAGTAACTTTCTATATAGATAGTGCATCCCAATATAGAGACCATTACAGTAACATTCTATATAGATAGTATATCCCAATGTAGAGACCATTACAGTAACTTTCTATATAGATAGTGTATTTCAATATAGAGATCATTACAGTAACTTTCTATATAGATAGTGCATCCCAATATAGAAACCATTACAGTAACTTTCTATATAGATAGTGTACCCCAATATAGAGATCATTACAGTAACTTTCTATATAGATAGTATATCTCAATATAGAGATCATTACAGTAACATTCTATATAGATAGTGTATATCAATATAGAGATCATTACAGTAACATTCTATATAGATAGTATACCCCAATATAAATACCATTACAGTTACTTCTATATAGATAGTGTATCTCAATATAGAGACCATTATAGTAACATTCTATATAGATAGTGTATCTCAATATAGAGACCATTACAGTAATTTCTATATAGGTAGTGTATCCCAATATAGAGATCATTACAGTAACGTTCTATATAGATAGTGTATCTCAATATAGAGACCATTACAGTAACTTTCTATATAGAAAGTGTATCTCAATATAGAAACCATTACAGTAACTTTCTATATAGATAGTGTACCACAATATTGAGATCATTACAGTAACATTCTATATAGTGTATCTCAATATAGAAATCATTACAGTAACTTTCTATATAGATAGTGTACCCCAATATAGAGATCATTACAGTAACATTCTATATAGATAGTATATCCCAATATAAAGACCATTACAGAACTTTCTATATAGATAGTGTATCTCAATATAGAGACCATTACAGTAACATTCTATATAGATAGTGTATCTCAATATAGAGATCATTACAGTAACTTTCTATATAGATAGTGTATCTCAATATAGAGACCATTACAGTAACTTTCTATATAGATAGTGTATCTCAATATAGAGATCATTACAGTAACTTTCTATATAGATAGTATACCCCAATATAAATACCATTACAGTTACTTCTATATAGATAGTGTATCTCAATATAGAGACCATTACAGTAACATTCTATATAGATAGTGTATCTCAATATAGAGACCATTACAGTAACTTGTATATAGGTAGTGTATCCCAATATAGAGATCATTACAGTAACTTTCTATATACATAGTGTATCTCAATATAGAGACCATTACAGTAACTTTCTATATAAATAGTGTATCTCAATATA